TTATTGTAATATAGTCTGGGTTCAATACAAATTGGGAGGTGGCAGAAGGTGGGTATGGGATAATACTTTAATCTATGATACTATTTTCCAGTTATAGTGTTTCTGCTTTGGAACATAAAAGGTCCAGTGAAGTGCCTTATTGTTCAGGCTTTTATAATTCTTTACCAAGGGAGTGCTCAGGAGCTATGGAACTTAGTACAGGCATCAGGAAGACAGATATCCTGGATGACCCTGTTCTAAGACCCCCACTTTTCTCTCAGGGGGATCTCAGTCTCGCTGATCTATTTAGGGAGGTTAATCACACTAGGAAGTCTCCTTAACCTCCCCCTTATATTCCTCAGACCAGTAAATCAGGTGCACCCCTTCCAGGTGACCAGGGGACCCATTACAGCCTCATGCCTCAGAGGAGCCCAACATTCCTCAGTTCCCTCGGCACCCTCCTCAGCAGCCCTCAGTCCCACTCGGTACACAGACAGCTTTTGGCCCCACAGGTTGAACCCAACATGGTGCTTCCTTCTACAAGGTTTTGGTTTCTGTATGCTTTTGAATGGGAACATCCCTTTACAAGTGAAAACCAGCAATATACTTGGACAATTCTCCCACAGGGGTTTAGAGACAGCCCTCACTGTTTTGCTTAGGCACTAGAAGAAGATTTGAGGAATCTAAAGCCAGAACGAGGAACCATCCTACAGAATGTAAGTGACATTCTGGTTTGCAGCCCAAATCAGGAACTGTATAACTCTAATGCTATACAAGCTCATATGGTCTCATATGGAGTTCAGGTTGGCCTTGAAGTCTATGTAGCCAAGGCTGGTCTCATTCTCCAGTAATCTTTCTGCCTCAGCCTCTAAAGTGCTGGGATTACAGGTGTGTGCCACTAAGCTTGGCTTCTGGGATATATTCTTACACCTGGGAAATGACAGCTGTCTAGGGACGAGATCCAAAGTATCTGCGATCTTGGGCCTTCTGCCACCAAACAGCTTTGTTCCTTCCTGGGAGTGTCAGGCTTTGTAGTATCTGGCTACATAATTTTGGACTAATGGCAAAGCTTTTATGTGAGGCAATAAAAAGCCCAAATCTGTGCCCCTAGAATGGACAAAAATAAAGCATGGCCTTATTCAGGGTTCAGCACTGGGAATACCTGATAAAGAAAACTTTTCTTTCTCTATATGTCAGAAAATGGAGACATTGCTTTTTGGGGTCTTGTCTTAGAGGCTAGGGCAAAAACCCTGCCCAGTGGAATACTTTTCAAAGAAATTAGGTGGGATAGCTGCTGGATAGCCACCCTGCCTGAGAACAATAGCAGCTATAGCTGTACTAACAGAGAAAACTGAAGAGTTAACTTTGGAACAGAGATTAGACATTCTGACACCCCAGGTTGGAGCTATTCTGGAGACAAACGGTTACATGTGGTTAATAGGAGAATGGCTTACCAAATATCAGGTTTGCTCCTAGACACACACTGCTGAGGTTATTATAAAACTTGCACTACTATTAACTCTGGTTCTTTGATGCCTATAGGCCCAAAGTTTAGCCACTACTGTGAAAAAGTAATACCTCAGGCCTATGCAAGCAGGCAGGACAACAGTCATCTGCCCCGCCCAGATCCAGAGGAGCTATGGTTCACTGATGGAAGTAGCTTTTTCTCAAGGACACTGAAAGGCAGATTACATGGTTGTCAGCTGATAACAGGCGATTGAAGTTAAATTTCTTTCCCTAGGAACCTCTGCTCAAAAGGCAGAGCTGGTAGCTCTTACTCAAGCATTGAAATTAGGAAAAGACAGAAGGTTAAATATCTATACAGACTCCAGATATGAGTTTCTGGTGCTACACACCCATGCAGCAATCTGGAAGGAAAGAGGCTTACTGACAAATAATCATCTATAGAACACAGACAGGAGATTCAACAACTCCTTGAGGAAGTCCCTCTTCCCAAGCAGGTCACAGTCATGCGATGGAAATGGTACCAGAGAGACATGTCTGAAGGCTCCTTGGAAAATCAAAAGGCTGACAGGAATGCAAAAAGGGAAGTCCTACAGCCTCTTAAGACTCTACCCTTGCTGGATGTCAGGGCACATGCCTGTAATCCCAGCACTCAAGAGGCTGAGGCAAGAGGATTTCTGTGAGTTTGAGGCTAGCCTGGCCTACATAGTGAGTTCAAGACCAGCTTGAACTACACAAGAACACCCTGCAAAAAAAAAAAAAAAAAAAAAAAAAAAAATCAATTCCTGAAGAACCATTAAATACCATCTATATTCCTCAGGAGGATAAATGGACCCTAGGACAAGAAGGAATTAAAAGGGGTCCCTGGTGGTATTTAGGAAATTAATTGGTCCTTCCCTAGGAAATACAGTGGAAGGCTATAAAAATAATTCATGATTCCTTCCATATGGGAAGATACTACATTGGAAATGGTCACTCAGTTTTCACATGACTAGGCTAGGAACAACCACAAAAGGTCTGCAAAACTTGCCCACTCTGCCTACAGCAACCTGGGCAAGCCCAACTGCCTCCTTTATTAGAACCTGTGCAGGGGAGAGAAACACACCCTGGAGAGGACTGGGCAATTGGACTCTACCCATATGCCATCTGGGGATTCAAACACATATTGCTTGCAATTGATGCCTTTACAGGCTGGATTAAAGCCTTGCCTACACATTCGGAAGAGGCTATAGAGTTAGTAAAGATGCTTCTTAAAGAAATCATCTCAGATTTGGGCTACCTCAGACTCTCCAGAGTGACAGTAGACCTTCTTTTATCTCCCAAATAACTCAGAGATTGACATAGCCTTTGGGAATAAAGAACCACCTTCATTCCACTTGGTGGCCTCAATCATCTGGAAAGGTAGAGCCAACCAGATCCTAAAGTGAGCTCTGGCAAAACCTTCCCTAATTGCTACCAATAACACTCATGCAGGTTTGTAACACGCCCCACACTGGGATAAGTTTGGGCAGTTTCACACATTATGCAGAAGGCCATTTCTATCCTCTGATATGATAGCAGACCCAGAGACCACGAGGTTCTTACCATATCTCATCAATTGTGGCCAAGTACAACAGACTATCCATATATGTGGGAACAGAGTCCTGCCAGCTCCTGGCCCAAGGGGGCCACTTAGTGTCCATCCTGGACCAAGTGCTTCTGAAAAAATGGAGATAGGGAACACCAGCAGACCAGTTAAATACAAAATGGAATGGCCCCGTTTCAGTGATCCTTGTAACACCCACTGCAGTAAAGGTGTCACAGATAGATCATTCCATTCCTCCTTCTAGGTTAAAGCTAGTCTCACCTGAACTATCTAAAGAACGAGATCACCCCCCCAAAAAAAAGCCACTCCTTTTGTGAGCCTTTGGAAGACTTGAGATTTCTCTTCCAAAAGCAAATCTGCAGTACCACTACAGATAAGGAAACAAGACCTTGCTAAAGCCAAGGCACTTAGAGTCTTGAGAATTGATCTGACATACCTCTAGAACATGTATTCTTTTCTACAGAAAGCATGGAAGTCTAACCTGCTCCTCACATCTGGGCTAACAGTAAGGTTTCTTTCTCCCATCAAACAGGCAGCTGGAGGGTCTCCCTAGGGAAAATGATATAGGACATAGAGTGTGGCAAAGCTGGCTGGAGAAGTGGGAGGGACCTGTCAATTAGAGTTCCTGGGACAATGCCAGGACCCATATGCAGAACTTCTGGTGAGCTCCCACGAGATGTGGGCAACATAAAGATACCATGAGGACCTCATTCTCATGACATCCCACGATTGGCTGCACTTGTTTTCCAGATGCAGTGTGTACTTTGATTTTGACTCTCATCTTTTTCTCGTGTTCTGCCCAAGTTCACTCTGCACAGCTGGTTTCTCAGTCCCCACTCACCCTACAATTCTCACATAAACTTTTCAAACCATTTGGGCTTTCTCTTCTAATTCTTTCTGCAACCAAGAAGGACCTGGGATACTTCTGATTGGTGATTGATTTCTAAAGAAACTACCTGATCAGAAGAGGAGGCAGCAATATTCACACCAAATTAACCATTTAAAGTTCATACTTGAGGGCTGGGGTTTAGCTCAGTGGATCACCCCCCTGCCTTGCAAGCACAAGGTCCTGAGTTTGATCCCCAGTACCAAAAAGAAAAGAAAAGTGCATGCTCAGTGGTATTAGTATATTTGTAATGTTTTCCAAACATTACCGCCTCTAATTCCAAAATATTTTCATCACTCCAAAAGAAAAATTCCCTAACCATTAGCAGTCACCCAATTCCCTTCTCTCGCAGCCCCAACCACCAACAATCTCTTTTGTTTCTGGGATTTGCCCATCCTGGACATTTCATGTATACACACTGTGTGACCTTTTGTACCTGGCTGTTTTCACCCAGCAGCAGTACAAGTGAACCTTCAAGGCATTACCCTGGCCAAGGGTGTGTCTTTGGAGAAATGTCAATTTAGGCTTTCCCTATTTCTCACTGGGCTGTTTGTCATTTTGCTGTAGAGTTCTGAGATTCATGTATTCTTTGCTGTATTTCCTCCCACTCCTTCTTTTCTCTTTCCTGATAGTGTCTTTTGATGATGAAAAGTTCTTAATTTGGACTTAATTTGAAAAGTCCGATTTAGCTGTTTTGTTGGTAATAGTTGTTCTTTTGACATTGAGTCCATTACCAAATCCAGGGTCGTGAAGATTTACCCTTATGTTTTCTCCTAAGAATGCTGTCTTTTCAGTTCTTACAGAAAGCAGCAATTTGATACAATATTTCTGACAATCATAACTAAAGCAAAAATGCACGAGCAACAAAATCTCAACATTTTAAATAAAGACTGGCTCTGACCAGGCACTTATCCACTCACCCAACTCGGGATTTGGCAAGGCCAGATTAACCTGGGGGAGCGGCGGGTGTGAGCAGGGTTATGGCTGGTGGCACAGCTCCAGTGCCGTCCCACCCAGGGGAAGGGAATTGTGTGCGCTGCAAATCCTTGAGCAGAGCCTGGCCGGGGGCCCAGGGCAGCAGGGTGTGCGTTTTGCAAGTGGCTTTCAGAGGGAGGCTACTTAGAATATGAAAGTGACCTAGTCCTAGGGCTTCCTGCTTCCCCAGGAGGGTCCCCAGCAGGGGTGCGTCCTAGCCAGGAGGAGGAGGGTGGGAGGCCACCCACAGGCCAGCAGTCCCCTGAATTTCCTTAGATAGTAGTCAAGTTCGGATACCCAGGTTCACACCAAAACCGCCCGTTGGCCTGAGCCTGGAGTCGCTCTCAGAGCACCCCGGATCCACCGCGCGGCTGAGCTGGGGCAGGAAAGGGGCGGGACCGACCTGGGTTCTACTCTGCAAAGCTAGGAGCACCTGACGCAAGCCCCGGCCCCGCCCCTGAGCCCGGCCGCCGAGCCAGGCTCCTCCCCGTGCCTCGGCCCTTTTCCGCTCCAGACCGCTCTCTCCTAGAAGGCCGCAGAGAGGTCGCCAGTCCGGAGACCTGAGACCAGATCCAGATCTCGCAGACCATGGCAGTAACCTTGCCGCTGCGCGACTGCCAGGTACGCGAGGCCGCTCCAGCAGAGTCCCTTATTTTCCCTCCGATGGCCGGCGCCTAGCGGGGCGGGACGTGACCTGAAGGCAATCCGGGATCCAGCGGAGTTCATGCCTAAGGGACTTGCTGGGGTGCGGGGAGAGTGAGGAGTCCTAGGAACCGAGTGGACTGTGCACCTACTGTGGGATCCCAACCCGGGAGAACTCAGGACCTTGGGAAAAGCACGCTCACAGGGCAGGGTCTCCTGGAGTCCGTCCTGGGTAAGGAACCCTGAGCCCATTCTGCAGATGAGGACGAGAAGGTGCCAGGCAAATTCGCACAGCTGCTGCAGAGAGGCCCTACCAGGAGGAAAGAGCACTGCCTCTGCAGGGGTGGGGGTGAGGGGTGTCACTGCCCTGTGCTCCTGGGGAGTGCACAGGTGGGCTGTCTTCAGATGGTCGGAGATGTGACTGGTCTACACGGTGGTAACCATGTGCACTGCTATGGCCGGGTGGGAGCAGACCACCCTGCTCCAGGGTGGACTTCCGTGCTGGTCCTGCTCTGCCCTCCAGCTCTCCTGGTGACCCAGCATCCTAGTGCACACTTGGAGTCACCCCTCAGGGTCCCATGTCACAGAGGGGTCCCCAGGGGTCTGCCCAAAGTTACACAGCCATTTGGAGACTGCTGGGACGTGGATCAGGGATCTGTCTGTGAAGTCTGAGGTTGCCCACATGTCAGGAAAGGCCGCTGGGGAACTGGGGTGCGTGTCGAGGGGGGCCGTGTAGCGTGGGGTGATCCGTAGGACAAGGCCTTGGTATTCCTTTCTTGCTGTGTGTAGGCATGGAAGGATGCTGGGCTCCTGCTCTCCACCACAAGCAATGAGGCCTGCAAGCTCTTTGATGCCATCGTGACCCAGGTAGGCCTGCAAGGGAAGCTGCGCCCCTCCTGTGAGGGCCGGTGGCAAGGGCTTTCTAAGTGGCATGGTGACTGCCCGTGTTCTGTGGTGCAACCAGCGCTGAGTGCCGGGGGACATAGGAGCGTGGGGAAGCAGCCCTGCTGGCCACCGCATGCGGAGAGGCCTCTGTGGGTGCAGTCTCGCCAGGGTCCTCTCCAGGGTCCTCTCCAGGGAACTCGGGGTGCTGTGGCGGTCAAGGGTTTGATGTGGGCCCTTTTATGAGTGTGGGGCTCCCACAAGTGGCTGAGCCAAGAGCTTCCCCTGTGTTCCTGGTGAAGGGTCCTGTAGCTTAGAAGTAAGGCCCAATCAGTTTGTTTGACAGGTGGGGAAACTGAGGCACAGAGGGCTGAGCTGACTTGAGTTGAAGGTGAGATCACATGAGAGGAGCCAGGGAGCCCTAGGGCTCCTGAGCTGAGCGCAGAATGGGTGAAATGCCATTAGCCATGCTGCATGTCTCTTGTCCCCAGCCTGTCCTGGCCACGCTGCCAGCTGTGTGCTTTTCAGCTGCTTGTTGTTTCACAGCCCACTTGTGTTTTCCATGCTGTGCTTGCCTCTGTCGTATCCTCGATTTGTCACACACCACCATCCCTGATTCAACAACCCCTCATCCACCAGCCTGTGCCCGTTTGGCCCTGGTCATTGGCATCTCTGTGCTGTCCTGCCTTTCAGCACAGGCTCTTTGAATCTCTGTACCAGGTCCCCTCTATCCTCGGAAAAATCTGTCCCTGAGTCTGTGTAGCTCTGGATTAGACAATTTATTTATTTATTTTGGTACTGGGGATCGAACTTGGGTCCTTGTGCTTGCAAGGCAGGTGGTGGAACCACTCAGCTAAATCCCCGGCCTGGTTAGACAATTTAAATGGCAAGTTTGAAAATCAACTGAGGGGCTGGGGCTTAGTGGTCTAGCATCTGCAAGATCTAGGGTTCCATCCCCAGCACCAAGAAAAAATCCAATGCATTATCAAAATGACTTTGTCTTAGTTACTTTTCTCTTTGGTGAGACAATACACCTGACACCCAAAGTTAAAGAGGAAAGGTTTATTTGGCTCACAGTTTGTAGAGATTTCACTTCACAGTTAGCTGGTTCCATTGCAAGGTTCCCCGGGCCAGGGGAGAAAAAGCTCATGGCAGGCAGAAGGCAGCAAGGCAGCAAGCAACAAAAGGCAAACAGCTCTTCTGTCCCTTATATCTTATCTAGGTTACCTGCCTTTAAGTCACGTAGCACACCCAGTCAGGCAGCCTTAATCCTAGCATTGCACCATGATTCAGTCCACCATCATGATCCCAGCAGTACGCTCCCTAGATCCAGCCACCTCTGAAAAGTGCTACCTTGGACCCCATGAGGCTTTGTGTGGGCAGCTGTAATAGCCTTCATGGTTTAAAAAAAAATTTGACATTTGTCTTAATCTGTTTTCCCTTGTTATAGCAGAATAATTAAGAGTGAGTAATTTATAAGGAAAGGGGGTTTGTTTAGCTCACAGTCAGTCCTGGAGTTCCAAAGTGTGGTGCTAGCATTTTCTTGGGCTCCTGGTGAAAGCAGACCAGAGGTGGGCACTTTGTAGCAGCCTGCTGTTGAGAGAATTGACCCAGTCCCACTAAGACCCCAGCACCCAATGCTGCTCCACTGGCAGCTAAACTGCAACATGAGATTTGGTGAGGACAAACTGCCTGTGCACCACAGCAGCATTTTGACAAATACACCAAGTTATCAAACATGGTGATGAATTTAGAGGCCTGGGGTCTGATCCCCAGCACAAAAAAAATATACAACTCTGAATTAAGCTTAATGTGACCTCCTTGGGGATGACTCCATTTTGCCTTTCTTGTTTCAGTATGTGAAATGGAGCAATGACAAGAGTCTCGGTGGCATCGAGGGCTGCCTGACAAAGCTCAAAGCAGCAGATCCGACCTTTGGTGAGTAGTGCTTCCTGGGCAGCAGAGGCAGAGCCCAGTTCAGGAATCTGGCCCCTCACCTTCCCTGGCCATTTGGGTTGGGCGAAGGGACCAGGGTGGTGTGGTCACAGGAGGGAAGATGACAGTCACCACTGTGTCCTACAAGGGTACCCGGTCCTATAAAAGCTCTTTTCACTTTTTTTCTCAAATTCACATCAATTCCACTTGAGGCCACTGTTCCCACTTCTCAGATGAGGAAGTTGGGGATCAGTGAGGGGAGGACGTGTAGCCATGTCTGTCTGAATCCCAGGCCGAGGCTCTTGGAGCACAGAAGTTATCACTGCAGCCCTTGGGAACTAGGGAGCCTCTCCCAGAGCCAGAGGCCAAGCAGGTGCGCCTAGGTGAGCGGGGTCGGCACAAGGCCAGCCTGTGTGTGACAGGCTCAGGCAGGTCAGCGTGGTGCCTCTGATCCCCAGGGAGGTAGCTCCAGCAGAGGTTCCCGGTGTGGAAGAAGCACTGAGGGAGGACAGAGAGCAGCACCCTCTTTCCTGCAGCAAAGGGCTAGAGATAGAAAGGATGGAAACAGGAGAGAGCAGAGGAGGAGCGAGGGGTGGGGGTAGGGAAAGCCAGGTACAGGGGCTGGGGAATCAGCCCGGGTCAGAAGCAGGGGCCACATGGGAGGTCCTAGCACTGCGGTTGGGTCTTCGGTCCCAGGCCTGGGCCCGTGCCTGAGCTCCTCATTCCATCAGTCGCCCCTTGCCCCAGCACATGTGGCAGTGTGTGTGGGCCCGGGACAGTGGCGAGGCCGGTCATGCTGATGGCTGGGCCCTGAACAGTACCCACTGAGCAGCCCCTGGAGGCTGTGTGCTGGGGGAAGCAGCCCCCGCCTGGCTCACAGGGTGGGAATGGGAGTGTGTAGGACACAGGCGCCACCCACCAGTCCTGTTAGAAAACTGTCATGGCCGCTTTTAGTGCTGCCCTTCCTTCCTCACTGCACACTGGAGTCCAGGGCTGAGACGTGGACCTGGCCCAGGGGCCCGCACATGGCCAACCTGCCCACAGCCTGTTCAGCTCCCGTCCGCAGGTTGTGTGAGACCATCTGAGTCACCAGCTGTTTCCATCCTTCTGCCAGCTATGGGCCACGTCATCTCCAATGGCCTCATGCTTATTGGCACCGGAAACTCGGTGAGGCTGGACAAAGAGCTGGACCAGGCTGTGAAGACCATGGTGCAGATTTCAGAAACCCAGCCACTGACGCCAAGGGAACAGCTGCACGTGTCTGCAGTGGAGACGTTTGCCAAGGGGTGAGGGGCGCTCGGGCTTTGTGGGGTGACGCCTCAGCTGTCCCAGTGCCCTGGGGGAGGGGAGACTGGGAGTGACTCAGCCTCAACTCTGGAAATCCTCTGGGTAAAGACTGCATCTGTCCAGGCTCTGCCTTGTCTGATAACCCAGTGAGGAAGCACTGGCTAGGATTCTCCATCTAGTGTTCAAAGCAACAGATCTTGTTTCATTAAGTAAATGGCCTATAATTTTAACTGCAAAACTGGGAGGACACATTACAGAGATATCTAAAAGAGAGGTTAAAAAAACATTCACCCATATTTTTCTTGTCTTACACGCTGTGGAAGTCGGCTTTCTGTCACTGTAACGAAATACCAGAGAACACCAGCTTATAAAGAGGAAAGGTTCATTCAGGGCCCAGTCCACAGTTTCTTGGTCCTGTTGCTTTTGGGGCTGTGATGAGGCAGGGTTCGTGGTGTGACCAATGGCAGAGGGGCCTGCTGATGTCATGGAAGCCAGGAGACAGAAATAGCAAGGGACCACAGTTCCAGTGTCCCTCGGGGGTATGTCCTCACCGACCTGTTAAACACACAGGCGCACACACACATACACACACACACACACACAGAAACACACACACACACACCCCACTTTTTTCCAGTGCTGGGCATTGGACCCAGAGCCTCACACATGCTAGTCAGTTGTGCTACCACTGAGCTATGTGCCCAGCTCCTCATGCAGGATGTGGCCGGATGTGTTTTATACTCCTCACATGTGGACCTCATGTTCATTGTGCTGAGAACGCTCTCTTGGCTTCCAGGAACTTCTCCAAAGCCTGTGATCTGTGGGAACAGATTCTGTGGGACCACCCAACAGACTTGCTGGCCCTTAAGTTTGCCCACGATGGCTATTTCTACCTGGGCTACAAGGCACAGATGCGAGATTCTGTTGCTCGAGTTTACCCCTTCTGGACACCTGACGTGCCGCTTAGCAGGTATGGACTTGTTGGAAACCACATCATTTTTATTTCTCGTTTTCTGTGTTCTGCCCTAAAACAGTCACTCATTTGGTTTTACCGTAAAAAGGCAGACTACTGTTGTTTTTCTCATAGTTCCTTAAAGATAAAAGTCTTCCTTTGCTTCGTTTGATTTTCATCCCATCTTGTGAACTAGGTAGCACCATTATGTCTCACTCAGGACAGGATTGTTTTGCTGCGGTAACAAGCATCCCCTAAATCTTGTTCTTACTACAACAAAAGTTTATCTCTCACCATACTCCATTCTCATCCTAAGAGGACCAAGAGCTCTGCATCCAGACTTTGTCTCCCTTCAGAATCCCAGCTGGTGAACAGCTACCTCTGGACACTGCAGTTGCTATGAGGGAGAAGAGAGCCTTCCTGGCTCACTTCCTGACTCAGAATGATAGGTACACCCTATAGCTCCCTAATCATTGGGTGGAACAGACCACACGACCCGATCCCTTCCTGCAGGCGCAGGAATGGTGTACGTGGCAGTGATGACCCAGGCTTGACTGCATTGTGATTTAGTCATAGGATGGTGAGGAGGATCAGACAGGGGAATGGGATGAAGGGCTGTGTGCCAGGGCTCTCGGGAGAAACCACTAGCATCTTCTTCCCTCCCTTATGTGTGTCTGTCATGTCAGCCTTTCTCCCTCCGCCATCATTTTGCCGTAGTAGTAAAATCCTCTGTACTTCATACGGAGGGGGATTTATTTCAAGAAATCTCCTGATGTGACTGTAAGTTCCGATAATTATAAAGTCTGAAGTCTTTGGGGCAGGTGGCGGGCTGAGAGCCCTGTAGAAGTCTGTATTACGGCCTTAGATCTGGAAGCAGAGTTGCTTCCTTCTCAGGGACCTCAGTCTGTCTTCATGCTCCCTTAGGCTGATTGGGTGAAGTCCACGCACGTGGCAGAGTCATCAGTTTGATTCAAAGTCTATTGATTTAAATGTTAGTCACATGTCAAAAACACCTTCACAGCACCACCTACACTAGTGACCAAACGAGTGGGCACCATGGCCTAGCCAAGCCAACACAGAATTAACTATCACAAGGAGCACAGTGAGTCAGGCACGGTGCCGTATTTCTGTAATCCCAACATTGTGGGAGGCTGAGGCAGCAGGATCACAAGTTCAACTGTAGCCTGGGCAATTTAATGACTTAGCAAGATCCTGCTTCTAAATAAAAAATAAAAATATTGGCAATGTAGCTCAGTATAAAAGCCTGGGGTTCAATCCGAAAGCCCCCCTTCCGTATGTGCCCACCCTGAGGCTTGATGTGAGTGCTTCCCGTTGAGAAACAGAGTCTTCTAGGCCCACCTACAAGGGTCAGAGCCTGGACCAAGCTGAGCTCACGTTAGGGGACTGTGTCCCTAGCCTCTGGGACCTCTGGCCTGGGCAACAGCCTGGCTGTTGGGGCATCCCCAGTGCAGGCAGAACACAGAGCCACCAATGGACCACAGGGTTTCCTGAGAAGATGCCCTCAGGCTGTCATCCTCAAGGGGTAGACAGGAAGGAGAAGATCTCAGCGTCCTTGGTGGACGCCATAAGTGAGAGACTTCCTGTGTAGAGGCCTCTGGGCATAGCACCAGCCATGCACCCCTCGGAACCGTGGAGTTGCTGACAACCCAGAATTGAGGATGGAGGGACTGAGCTAGGTCTCGGGGTTCTACAAGAAATGATGAAAATGCATTCATTCTCCAACAGTCCTGGAGCCCACGAAGTCCAAACGCTGCAGTGAGCAGGGCCCCATCTCTCCAAAGGTCCTAAAAGGCACTTCTTGGCTACCTCCAGCTGGTGGCAGGTGGACTCTGCCTGTCTTGTGACTGCATTACTTTGATTTCTGCCTCTGTCTTCACCTGCTGTCACCCCACCATGTCTCTGGATCTGCTCATGGCCTTTCTGTAAGGACAGTGGTCACCGTACTAGGGCCACCCTGACTTGGTCACGTCTGCCAAGACCCTCTTTCAGAGTGAGTTAGGACTGGCGTGTCTCCTTGGGGGCACAGTGCAGCCTCTCACGGTCCACTGAGGTGTCGTTCTCTGTTTCCAGCTATGTGAAAGGCCTCTATTCTTTTGGTTTGATGGAAACCAATTTCTACGACCAGGCAGAAAAGGTTGCCAAAGAGGTAAGTGGTCCCTTCTCGAGGTGTGTGAGCTTTCAGAGAGGCCATCTAGTGGGGAGCCACCCTCGGGTTGATGCAGCCCCACCTCTGAGTGTCCTCTGCGACTTGGGGGAGACGGGTTAGTGTAAGCTGCTCCCACCTGCAGGGTGACTGCTCCTGAGCCCAGAAGCCCCGGGCTGTCCTCCCGGAGAGTATGGGGCCACACCTGTGGAGCACTTGACAGTTAGACCAGGCTCCAAGGCAGGGGAGGGCAGCATCAGTGGGGGAAGACTGAGGCCCCAGACAGCTAGATGGCTCACTGCAGGGGGCTCAGCTGTACGCAGGAGGCTGTGTGCTTGGCGGCTGAGCCCTGGTTTGGAAAAACCCTAGGTGAGCACTCAGCCTCCTGTGCCTCGTTTGCACATCTGTGAAACAGGCCGCCCTGCGCTCCCCATGGCTGGGTTGGCACCGGACCTGTGTGACCCAGGTGCACAGGGAGTGGGGCTGGTAGTGGGGTTGTAGTTATTCTGAGTCGGGTGCAGCCACCACACCTGCTCAGACCCTCACACCCCAGCTGGGCAGCCTGGCCGATACCTGTCTGCACCCCTCTCTCTGGCCCTGCAGGCTCTCGCCGTTGACCCCACAGACGCATGGTCTGTGCACACCATAGCACACATCCATGAGATGAGGGCAGAAGTCAAGGAGGGGCTGGAGTTCATGCAGCGCTCAGAGAGTCAGTGGAAGGTACGGCTGTGTGGGTGGATCTCAGGCCTGGACAGCTCTGGTCAAGAACTGGGTTGGGCTGAGGCTTTGAGAACAGGAGTTGACGGTGTGGCTTGGTACTGGGGAGCTGGGTCCAGCAGAAGCCAAAGACAGGTGGTTCCAGCATGTGCCTTGGCCTCAGATGTTGGCTGTAGTGGGAATGTATCTCAAGGTGGCCAGGAATTAAGAGTTTGACAACCTTCGGGACCAGCAGAGCTGCCCAAGCTCTGCCACTGACCTGCGGGCTGCGAGTGGGACCATGAAGTGGTCTTGCATCGTGGGGCGCAGCCAGGATGAGGCCTGTGGGGTGGTGGCATCTACAGGAAGGATGGGTAGAGGAGAGGTTCCAGGGCCATCCCGGCCCCCAGGGCCCTAGCAGCTTTTCCCATGGCCCTACTGTTCTGTGGTCATTGTCCCCACTCTGGTGCCTGACTTCCCCCAGTCCTGTGTAGGCCTTTCCCTCCATGGTGGCCGTTTCTCTTCCACGTGTGCCTGGTGTCCCCAGCTGTGACTGGCACATGGCCTGGCTCCCTGGCCAGGTGTCCTGGCCGCCCTGCCTGTCCATGTGTCATGGCAGGCTCCTTGCTGGCCCGGGAGCTGAGTCTCTCCCAAGGCCTGGCACCTCATGGCAGTCAGTCAGTGATGGGAATGGCCAGGAGCCAGGAGTGATGTGGGAGGCCCCGCTGACCATGAGCGCAGCTCCCTGGCCTGGGATGTCCCCACAGAGGTCCAGCTTGCATGAAGGCCTCTGGGGCTAGCAGGGTGGGGACGGCTGAGAATTGTGATCCCTGAGGGTTGTACACAGTCTTTCTAAGGATCCTCACACTCTCTAGAAGCTGGAAAGCCCCAGAGCCAGCCTGATCCAGGCCGTGGGGCATCAGGAATCTTAGACAGTGTACCAAAGCCCTAGAGTGTGCCTTGAGGGTCAGGACCCTGAATAAGATATGAGGACAAAAGGAGGATCACGGTTTATTCCTTGCTGCTTGCTGCTTACTGCCTGCCTGCTCTGTGGTAACCCTCCAATGTGCCACCTTGCCTTGGAGCCAGCCAACTAGGGAATGAAACCTCTACAAATTGTGACTACAATAAACTTTGTCTCCTCTAACTTTGGGTGTCAGGCATCTTATCTTGGCAATGAGGAAAGTAATTAAGACACCCAGGCTGGTCTTGAATTTGTGATGCTCCTCTTTTGGACTCGCTAGTAGCTGAGGTGTGTGTCACCATGCCTGCCCAGTGTGATTTTCTGGGACCTGAGACCCCTTTCCTGGAGGCCAGGCTCTCCCCTGGGTCGAGAACTTGATCTCTCTGTGCCTCAGTTTCTCCTCCTGTACTCTGTGAGGCACTGGTCCCAAATGAGTCCCATCAGTGTTGGTTCCCACATAGCCAATGCAGGGATCATTGGGGATTAGGCCTTCGTCGTCTTTCGTAGTCACTTTCTTATCAGTGAGACATAGTGACATCCAAGTTAAAGGAAGAGAGGCTTATTATTATTATTATTTTGACTTGGGTTTCAGTGCATGGTCAGCTGGCTCCAAGGAAGAAATGGCCCGGCACAGGGGTCTGGGGGAGGAAGCTGCTCACATCATGGTGGCCAGGAAGCTGAGAGGGAGGGAGGGAGGAGCCGGGAGGGAGACGCAGGTCACCCTCAGTGACCCTCTCCAGCCAGACTTTACCTCCAACATCAAGTCAGGTGTATCGATCCCAAGATTCAATCATGTTTCCAAAGCCATGGCTCCTATGAGCACCGGAGGCTCTTGGGAATCTCTCCACATAAGCCGTGACATCCTCTGATGTGTAGCTCTGTCCCCCAGCAGCCCGGGTGGGGATGCCGTGGCCTGGGCTCCCTTTCCTCTGCCTGCATCTGGCTTAGGTGTTTGGCTGCTGAGCACAGAGCTCAGCTGAGTCCGGTCTCCACTGCAGGTCTCCTCTCCACCCTGGGGAGCCCCGGAAGGGTCCCCCCATAATGACTAATGAGGCACACACCTCCCCCTATCTCGGCTTCCTGGCTTAACCCAGGCTCAGTCGTGGCTGCCCCCAGAGCAGAGGGTGATGAGATGGCGTGGAGACACCTGGACAGACAGGTGCCTAGCGGGCCCGGTTTCCTGTCTTCTAGGATGAAGCGTTCTGTTTCAGCACAAGCCCACACTGGCTGATCTGCCCAGGCCACCCAGTCTTTCTTTAATCCTCTCCATTTTTCCGCAGGACTCCGATATGATTGCTTGCCACAATTACTGGCACTGGGCTCTGTACTTGATTGAGAAGGTAAGATGACGGTCTCACCTCATCCAGACCGTGGGAGACAGTATTTCGAGGTCTGCAGTAACCGTCCAATCATGAGGGCCTTGTGTTGTGCCTCCCTGACTGTATGCACAAGAGGGATCTGTGAATGTGTAAATGAAAAAAGTTATTACAGAGACACGTCGCGTGAATCTCTCAGAACGCCTGCACCCTGCTTTGAACCCACTTATCCCATCACTTTGACGTTTTCTGAAACAGTTGTTGAAGTGCTCTTTCTTGAATTTCTTTAGGAGATGAAATTAAAAAATGGTGAGCTCTGCTGCCGAGAGCCATCCGTGGAAAGGCAGGCTTGTAGAAACATGCTGCTGCGTCCTCATCCCATCCACCATGTTCACCAAAGCTCGCTCTTCTCCAAAGTCACAATGACCACAAAAGAGCAACGTTTGGAAGCAATTGAGCACATTGAGGCAGACACAACAGTGCAACTAAAGACTCTCAGGAAAGAGGACCTATGTAGTGTTTCAAAGTGGAAGAGAAGGGCCGGGGATTTAGATCAGTGGATCTGCCACTTGCCTCAAAAGCACCAGGTCCCAAGTTCGATCCCCAGTACATAAATAATCAACAAAGTAGAAGAGGAGGATGGGGTAGAGGTGTCCAGTGTGAGGGGAGGATTTTGACAGGAATGGCAATGTCTCTAAGTTTTTTTTACTTGAAAACTAAGAGCATCCCTTATTTTTTGGTCACACCTGGTCAGTGCCTCCTTGCTGCTGGGGTGAGCAGCTCAGCCCCCTCCCCACAGAGGGCACCCGAAGGAGCATGAGCTCTCCCAGGAGGAGCAGGGGTGTGGGGTTGCTGGAAAACCCTACTTTTCAGGGTGCTCCGTGGCAGCACTATCGACCATAGACAAAGACAAGAGGGTCTAGAAATGGCCAGTGAGGGTGATGCACGCAGGTGAGCATCCTGTTCTGACATGGAACGTGGCGATCCCACATCCTGGAGGAGGCAAGGAGCCCGTGGCACGTGCAGTAGGGGATACTGTGTATGTTCCCTCCTGTAAGGGAAGACTCACAGCCAGCAGGCAACATAAGCGATGCTCACACAGGCTGCCTGTTCCTTACCCAGGACACCTGGCAGCAGGAGTGCTCCAGATTTAGTTCTGTTGGATTTGGGAACATTTGCCTATCCATGATGAGACATCCTGAGGATGGGATCTTTCCTAGTCACTCTCTGTGCTGGGACAAAAGACCCAATACCAGGAACTTAAAGGAGGACAGGTTTGTGGTTGCTCAGATTTTGTGCCAAGAAAGCATGGCAGAAGGGCAGGGAGGGAGCTGCACCCTCCCCGGCTATGCCCACGGTGTCCTCTTCTCCAACCAGGCCCCACCTCCTAAGAGCACATTTAGCTCTAATCTCATCTGTGGGCTAAAGTAGTGATGAGTATCCGGCCGCCATGGTCCAGTCAGCTCCACAAATCCCTGCGTGCCTGAGGCTTGAGAAGGGGAATCTGTGTATAAACAGAAATCTAAATGGGAAATCCATGGGTGTGTCCTATGTATCTTATACACATATCCGGAAGCTGATGTCATACAGTACTATTAACCTGCCTGTTTTTGGACCGGCTGGACTCTTGAGGTCATGTGCGAGACCTTCCACTGGTGGCTTCCTGCAGCTGTTCCAGAAGTTCTGATCTGTAGCCAGGGCCCTGTAATCCTAGCACTCTGCGAGGCCGAGGCAGGAGGACAGCAAGTTCAAACACAGCCTGGGCAGTGTAGGAGCTGTCTTAATCCTGAAAATAAAAAGGGTAGGGGTAGAGTTCAGGGTGAAGGTCCTGGGTTCCATGACCAGCGGCACAAGAGAAAAGAAAAGTTGTGGACTGGGGAGCCCTGATGTGCTTCCGTTCAGGGCGGCTCCCCCCGAATGAGCAGGGGACACCGCACCCTCACAGAAGACCTTGGCCTCAGCAGCAGCTTCAGGTCCCGTTGCTCCTCTGTGCTGGGCATGCTGGTGGCCTCCCCTTCCCAGCCGCCCCTCCAGGTCAAGCCCTCTGTGCCCCGCTCCATGAGGAAGTGGGGCCCTCCTGTATGTGAGGCGCTGGTGCTGTCGGCAGCACTGCTCCCAGGGTGGCACTGTGCCTTCTCCAGGGCTCATCCTGGCATCTTTGTCCCCAGGGTGAATACGAGGCGGCACTGACCATCTTCGATGACCACGTGAGTGTCTGGTGGTTGCCACAGCTTGCCTTGCAGCTGTGATGACAGATCTCCGAGCCCCTCAGGGACAGCGTTGTCCCTGCCGGGAAAATCAGCAGAGCCAGGAGCCGGTTCTTGTGTGAGACCTCAGCATGGGTCCTGCCAAGGGCCGTGTTCCACTGACCTTTAACCCCACAGTGTCAGCGGAGAGGGTCTAAGCTTTCCGTCTCCACCCCACCCTTTTTATCGCTCTACTTTGGTGACGTAGCTCATCTGTGCACCTGCCTTTGCTTTCACCGTGACAACTTGTACACAAGGGAAAACGTGGTGCCCAGGTCAAGGGCGCTGAGCACTCCCACATTGCTGTGCCTCTGTCCCCACCCCTAAGCCCAGAACTCTGACATCCTCCCAAACTGACCCTCCGTATCACTTCCCTCCCCCAGCCCCTGCTGTTCCTTTGAAATAAAACCAAAGTTCCCCAGTGAGAGCTTAGTTCCAAAAGCCGCAGACCCAGACCAGCAGAGGACACCCACAGTAATCCTGACGTGGACAGGACTTTGCAGGGAGCAGCATAGTGATCTCCCTGAGCCTCGGCGCTGGGGTCCCGGGTGCTCGGTAACCCACTCCCGGCACACAGCAAAGCAGGTTCCATCCTCAGGTCTGGCACTTGCAGCTGTCAGGTCCTTCAGCGAGGGTGACATCGTGACAGGTGGGGTGGCAGGATGATGGCCGTAGCTCCTTCCCCGACAGCTTGCTCTGTGCTGCTGGACTTGTGGCCCAGACCCGTGGGCTCCTCATCGCCTCTCCTGACGGCCCATGTCTTGCAGATCCTGCCCAGCCTGCAGAGGAGCGGTACCATGCTGGACGTGGTGGACAGCTGCTCCATGCTGTTCCGCCTGCAGATGGAAGGTAGCATGTCTCTGCCCCGTGGCCCTCGCGCTTCTCCCCATGAGATCCGGGAGCTGTAGGGCTCTGGCTGCTTCTCCTGTCTCAGATGCACAGCTGTCCTCTAGTCAGCCCAAGCTGTCACGGCCACCTCACCCTTTCTTCTAGGTCCTATCTCCCCTTCCCGTGTTGGCCTCAGCCTTTCTACCCGGCATCCTTTTCTGTTCCTACATCCTGCCCACCAGGCCGCCAGGCCCTGGTGGTACCTGTCCATCTGTAAGGATGGCTCCTTTCCTAGGACATGACAGGCGAGGCTTCCCGCATCCCTGGAGATGCAGTTTCTCTGTCCGGGCACCTCATGCTCTGTAGGTGACTCCGGGGCCTTCATGGCTTCCCGCCGGCCGCTGCAGTGCCCGATGGGTCTGCCCTCATCTGGGGCTGGGCCTCATGGTGTGGGCACCCTGCAGGGGCTGGAGGATGGGCAGGGGGAGCTGCTTCAGGAGGCTTTGTGGTGGAGGTGAGTGTGAGCCAGGGGAGACAGGGAGGTTTGCCAGGCAGAGAGGAGGAATGGATGTTGGATGCGGAGGGTGCAGCCTGCGAAGGGTTGATGATGGTCAAGGTGTCAGACGTCAGGGCAGCAGGAGGAAGCAGAGCAGGCGGGTCAGCAGAGACCCAGTGCAGTTAGAGCATTTAAGAATTAGAGGTCAAGGGCAATGGTAATGGAGGAGAAAATCCAATGCGGTGCTTGATGTGGGGAGGCCCAGGTATGAGGTGACACCCGAGAGTGGTGCAGAGGTAGGGGCTTGGGGAGTTGAGAAGTCCAGACACACAAGGCGGGAGTGTTATTGATTAGTGCAACATTATTTTATTGTGGTCCTATTAGGTATCAGGTGGTGATCTTGCATTAACCACTTACTGGAATCGTTTAAAAGTGTGTTGGGGCTGGGCAAGGCAGTGCACATCTGTAATCCCAGCACTGTGGGAGGCTGAGGCAGGAAGATTGCACTTGGGAATGCAGAGGCGGAGGAGCCAAGTGCAGAATGTGCTCCCGGTTGCTCACAAGTCCCACTGTCCTGCCTGTGTCCGCAGGGGTGTCTGTGGGCCAGCGGTGGCAGGACGTCCTGCCTGTGACACGGCCTCACAGCCAGGACCACATCCTGCTGTTCAATGATGCCCACTTCCTGATGGCCTCCCTGGGCGCCCAGGACCGCCAGACCACGCAGGACCTGCTGACCAGCCTGCGGGAAGCCAGCGAGTATGCAGGGACCTGGGACTGCCCAGGGTGGGGCCAACCCTGTGCCACCAAGGGACAAGTGTGGGCACAGTGCCGCGGTGCCCAAGAAGGAAGGCCTGTCTCACGGGGGTCCCCCCACAGCGTCCTCTGTCCCGAGGGGCCGTGAAAGCCCAGTGTCAGGGACACAGTGGGTCCTAGAATCTGTCTAGGACAGATCCGGAGACCCTGGGCACGCTGCTTCTCTGCCCTGAGCCTGTTTCCTCATCTATAAATTGAGATGTTGCCTCCCTGGGGCCAATAAGGGTGGTGTAGTCGGCTTAGGCTGCCGCCCCCATATCCTCCTGGTGGTATCGGTATCCCTTACTTTCATGCCTTTGCTGGCATTGTCTGCCATCCCTACCTCTCTGTGAAGTTGGCACTGTCACGCCCACTTTCCAGAAGGGCAGACGGAGCCAGGAGTTCTGTGTGGGGCCAGGTGACTGGTCCCAGACCACGTCCATGCCAGACCTGCCTTGAGAGCCCCATGCGCTCCTGTGCTGGGTTCACCCCATGAGAGTATCCACCTTGTGGCTGTGAAGCAGCCCAAACTCAGCACCCTGCATAGGTGGACGGTGCCCTGCAGAGGTGGCTCTGAGCCTCCGTCTCGGTTGGCAGGTCCCCAGGGGAGAACTGCCAGCACCTACTGGCCCGAGACGTGGGGCTGCCCCTGTGCCTGGCCCTGGTAGAGTTCAAAGATGGGAATCCAGACCGTGCACTGGAGCTGCTCCTGCCCATCCGCTACCGCATCATCCAGATCGGGGGCAGCGATGCCCAGGTGAGCAGTCAGCCGCCTCCCATGCCAGGGAGCCCTCGCCTTCCCCAGGTGTTGGTGCCCGAGAGACGGGAGTGATGTCCCTGTCTCTCGCGCTGCCTCCCGGCACTCTCGCCATCCAGTGAGGTGCCATGGCCGCCCCATGTAGGGTGTGGGGGCCGGGGCTGGACTCAGCTCGTCCACACTGTGGCGCCTGACTCGTCCCGTGTTATCGCAGAGAGATGTCTTCAACCAGCTGCTGATCCACGCGGCCTTGACCTGCACCTCCAGCGCCCACAGGAACTTGGCCCGGTGAGTGACTCTGCTTCTGACACCCAGCACAGGAGGGGTCCCCACACCCGGCCACTCCCAGAGACCTCCTTGTGGGTGGGCTGCTCCCGCCCTTGGGGTTGTGCGCTTGCTAGACCACCAGGAAACTCCTTTGTCAGAAGGAATGAGCCAGCCCTGCTCCAGGCCCAACCTCCACTTCCACAGCCCATTCCCCATCTTAGTCAAGCCGAGCTTCACAAAAGCTCTGGGCCTTTGCACTGGCTGTAACCCCTGCATGGGACGCCCGGGTCCCTTTCCACCTGTGCCGGATGTAGGAGGCAGGGACGAACTGGAGGCAGAAGCCCTGGCTTGGGGGACCAGTGCAGACTTAGGGACCAGAGAGGGAGTGGCTTGTAAGAGATGCCTGTGAAGCTCTGTACATTGTGGCCCTTTGTGGCCATGGCTCTTCTGGAAGGAGAGAAGGCACAGTGAGATCCCACACCCAGGGTCCGCCAACCCACCACAGGACCGTGGGTGTTTCTTCTAAGCCTGACGCAAAGTGCCCTGGTGATGTCCCTGCTCCAGCACGTGGCTCTCCACTCCCCAGCTGAGCCCAGGACTCCCGCCTCGGCCTGTCGCGTCTCCTCAGCTCCACAGTCAGGGCTGCCCTGTCCTGCCCTGAGCTACAAGGCCATGGGCCGCACGCCCTTCTCCAGAGGCCCAGAGCAGCCTCTTGTGTTTGCACAGGAGCCTTCTGATGGAGCGCAACGCCTTGAGGCCCAACTCACCCCTGACCCAGCGACTCATACGAAAGGCGGCTGCCGTCCACCTCATGTAGAGATCCGCTGGCCTGGGGCTGTGTGAACCCGGGGGCAGCCTCCCTTGCACCAAACCAGCCGTCCTGCTGGGTCGGGGTCAGGAGAGAGCCGGGGCCTGCTTGTCTGGGCTGGTGGTGAAGATTCAGACAGAGCGCAAAGCGTCCTGAATGCATAGTTTCATAGAGAGGGAATGCAAATTAATTTTCAAAGTGATTTAGAATTTGCTTCCAGTGCTTTCCAATGGCCAATATGCACTTTTTGTGTGGTTCTAGGGATTAGCCTTCACTTGCTACGCAAGTGCCTATCTCTCAGCTACACCCCAAGCACTTTGTATTTTGTGACACAGTCTCATTAAATTGCCCACGCTAGCCTCAAACTCGCAACCTTCCTGGGTCAACCTCCCAAATCGCTGGAATGGGGGACATGCACCATCACCGCTGGTCCCAATGTGCTGTTTTGTCTTGCACTGGGGATTGAATCCAGGCTGTTCTAACCCCCGACAGACCCACTTTTTTGAGATAGTGTCCCATGGAGTTGCTCAACTCAGGCTAGGCTCAAATGTGCTATCCTCCTGCCTGAGCCTACCGCATAGGTGGGATGACAGACATGCACCACTGTGCCTGGATTCTGTCAGAAGCAGCACAGAACCTCAGTAGAAAAGAATAAAGATGCAGGTTTGAGTAGCAGCAAGGTCATTAATCATTGGTGCTGTCTACTGAACACTTCGGATATTCTAAGAGAGGTGCCTTAGGAGTGGGTGGTGCGGTCTCCCGACCCCTATCAGACATCTCCTGGGTTTCAAGGATCCAACCCTGGAAGGCAGGGCACAACTGGAGCCAAGAGATGGTCTCTGACCACAATCCTTCCTACCAACTGTAACCCAGGCAACCTGGTCTAGCAACTCCAGGTTTAGTGCAGGCAACACTAAGCTGATCGTGATGTCAGGCATAAAGTGCCCGCGTGGATGCCGTCTTAGTTAAAGGTTAAGCTCGCCCTCTTGATAGAGCAGGAAAGGCTCAGAGTCATCAGAAGGACAGCACATACTCAGGAAAATGGTCAGGAACAAACACCAAGTGTGAACATTACATGTAGAAGAGATAGATGATAGCCCTATAACCATAGCCCTACACTTTGTCACGGAAATGGCATTCCTATAGAAATCAATAAGAGATTAACCACAGCTCTGAACTTTGTCACAGCCTCTTCCTGTGCAAACTAGATGCTCTTTTCCTTCTAACCGCCGCATTTCGCTTCTGTACTTTGATTGCTTCCTCCAATCTAGAAATGTATAAAATCCTCTTGTACTCTGAGCTCGGGCTGCTCTCCAAGTTGTTGCTTGGAGGGGCCGTCTGGCCAGACTAATAAAGGTCTGTTTGACACCATTCTTGGGTGTGGCTCATTGGGTTCCTCTGGGGTGTTGTCTCGCTGTCGCTGATCTGTAGTTCTTCAGAACGTTTGGTTAAGATCCCTGGTGGTCTTACAATGGTCCATGGCCAATGATTGGGAGTTTGGGCCCAACAAAGCCAGCCTGCCTGGAGGTGAGCAAACCCAGAAGTGGATGGAGACACCCCAACCTGATGACCTCTAAGCCGCCCTTTCTTTCCAAGTTACCTCTGCTTCCTGATGCTTTGAGAATGGCTTTCTGTTACTTGGAACTCAAAGGCTCTTAACTGGGATATGCATCTGGGTCTGCTTTTCCCCATCACTCTTCTCCAGTTAAGATGCTGAGCAAGCAATTTAGATCCTGTCTCAAACCAAACAATAAAAGGGTGTTGGGGGTGTAGTTCAGAGTTAAAGGCCCCGGATTCAATCTTCAGCACTATCAAGGAAAAAATGAAAATGAACGGATCCCAAAGAAAGGAAGGCATACACTCAGAATGGACCTGAGAGGCTCATGGTGAGAGAGGAAGGTCGAGGGGTCCCAGCACATCCTGGCGTGCCCTAAGCCCGCAGATGCAAAACTATCTGGATGCCAGGACAAACCAAGGGGACAGCAGTCCACAAAGCTTGAGCCCTCACAGCAAGCACCTCTCACAGGCTCAGCCCCAAGCCTGAAGCCCAGGAGTCCCGCCCTCCAAGAGCTCTGGGTCTCCAGTGGAGGGAATTCCGGGTCCAGAGACTTCCTGGTGATTGCGCACGCGTCCTGCAGAGCCCGTCCTCCGCGCGTGAGCACAGAATCCCTTCCGGATATTCTGACTACAACCCCCAGGGTGCACTGCGCCCTGCGAGCCCCGTTCAAACCGGCCAATCGGCGGTCCGCGCAGCCGCCGGGCTCCCAGTTTAAATCCACGCGGAGGGGCGGGAGGCGTCTTTGGCCCAGAGCGAGAGCGGTGAGGTGTTGTACCCGGCTGGGCTTGGCCTGGTGGGCACAGGGCAGCGCCTAGTGTTGTCTGGCGGGAAGGGCGCGCGTCCCCGAAGGCCGACCTGGGGTGGAGCCCGGACCCCGCGCCTGGGGCAGGGAGGAGGACCGGGGCGAGCCGGGCCAGCCCCTTGACCCGCAGCTGGGAATTCGTTATTTCCCCTGGTGGACTCGGGTGGGCCGCGCGCTCCCTGGGGGACCCCCGGGCACACCGTCCTTCCGGTGGCCTCCGCACCACTTTTGCATCGTCCTGACCTGCGTACGCCCTTCAGCCCTCTCTGTCAGGGGTGTGCTGGCGGGGCTTCCGCTGCCGAGCCGAGGGCCTGGGCTCAGCCACCTCCTTCCTCCTGCTGAGGGCCTCTGACAGCTCCCTCCACGGAAAGAGGGGCCGGCAGCGACGTGACTTCAGCCAGCTGGCGAGGGAGGCGGAGATGGATGTTGCCAAGAAGGAAGGTAAATCGGTGTCACTGCAGCGCTGTGTCAGGGAGCCCAGGAAAGATAGACGTTGATTTTATGTTTCTGTGCATTTCATTCACTTATTCAGTGCTCGTCTCCTGCTCTGCACCCATCGGGTACCTGGTCATTTTTTTCTTGAGAGAGAGAGAGAGAGAGAGAGAGAAAACACACACACACACACACACACACACAGCCCCCCCCCGCCTAAAGTTCCACCACCACAGGGATTTTTACGTTTTTTTAAACGCAGTATCTCCAGTTCTTGACATTTGGGGAGCACTGAAATGTTTGTTGAATTGAATTTGTTGTTTTCTTGTTTGTCACTGGCTTCTGTTGCTGTCATTTGTGTAGAATCTTGGGGACCCTGATAGTGAGTGAGCCTCATCCATAACTTTCCTTTCTTCTGTCCTTTTCTGGTTTGGTTATCAAGATGAGGGTACATGTTCACAAAATAAGCTATAGTTCTCCCTCGTAGCCCTAGGGGATCCGCTGGATACTAAAAATCCACAAATATTCAAGTCTCTCATACACAGTGACAGTGATGGCATATATACATGCACCCCCACATGGTACATTTTATTTAGTTTTCTATTTTTGAATTTTTGAGATGGTCTCACTAGGTATTTCAGACTAATCTTGAACTCACTATATAGTCTAGGCTGGCCTTGAACTTGTGGCAGTCCTCCTGCCTCTGACTCCCTGGCATGTTCCACAACAGCCTGGCACCATACAATACAGTTTCAATCTTTTTTTTTGTTTTTGTACAGGGGATCGATCTCAGGAACTTATGCCTGGCAGAACCCCTGAGCTAAATCCCTGGCCCCTCATTTTTCGATGACTTATACCAGTGGAATGCAAACACTCTGTAAACCGTTGTTAATGCTGTGTTGTTTTGTGAATGATGACAAAGAATAGCCTGTATGTGTTCAGTTGCATAAGCAATTTCTTCCCAAGTATTTTGACTCCACTGTTGGTTGAATCCAAGACTGTTGGTTGAATCCCAGGATATGGAGGACCAACTGTTAAGGCCATACCCTCTTTTTCTCTTAAAGCATTTGGACATCCTTTTATCCTTTGCTTCGCATGACGCCTGTGTTGGGCATTGGACTGGGTACCCAGTGTCCTTAACGTCTCCATTTTGCAGAAATGGTCCTGTAAACTTTCCGTCAAAGTAAATGTCCTCTCGATTCACCCCGACACCCAAGCTCAGACCCCGCCCCCATTTCCATCCAATCACCAATTGCTGTCATTTCCGCTTTGTGCACGTGATGCGGATTCACCCCCTTTCAACTCCATCCAGATGCCCTGGTCTCAACCACTGCCACTCACTTGTACCCATCTGCAAACTTTTCACTTTGTTTATTATGTGCATTTGTAATTTCAGTGGTATCAGTGCTTCCTTGCTGATGTACCTTGTTATTTTGTCGGAGGTGTCCCCACCTCCACATTAGCCTTTTGCTTGCCTGGTGCCCCTAGAGGCCAGTCAGCATGACATCAGGTCTTCATGGCAGTTGGTAGTGGCCGTGACCTGTTGTAGATGCTTGTAGGTTTGCAGAATGATGGAGCCAGCCAGTGTAAGGTCACTTGCCACCTTGCCATGTGCCTGACTAATGGAATTGCTTTTGCATTTTTCCATTCAGTCCTGTGCGGGCTTGTGCACTAATTTACTTGTAAGTGGTGGTCAGTGGTACTGTCCATTCGTACTTGTGTGATTTTCTCCCTTGTAGGCACAGGATAGCATAATATCCTTTGCTCAGGCACAGTTATGTTTGGCTTGGCTGACTCGGTTTTCCAGTGAAATGGGAGTGTTGTGCTGTATTCCTTCTGGCTAGATGTCTCCAGGCTCTGCTTGGAATTTGCCCTCTGATAGAGGTGGTCCCGAGGGTAGGGCTCTGCCAGCCTGGGTTCCAGAGGGGGAGGCACAGTTACTATTTCAGCCACTGGGGCTCTGGAGTTGTTTGTCATATCAGCACGCATAACCCCATCCCAGCTGACATTTCCTCCCGTCTTTAGAAGGAATGCTTTTGGTGTTGTCATGCTGAACCTAATTTTGGCTTTTGAGCTGAGGTGGGTATTACCTTACAGGATAAAATACACTTGTTACTCTTCTATTAAGAGCCTTTAAAATCAAGAATATTGTACAGGGGCCAGGGATTTAGCTCAGTGGTTCCACTGCCTGCCTTGCAAGCGCAAGGACTTGATTTGATCCCTGATACCAACAACAGCAAAAAAGATTGTATGTACAAAAAAAAAAAAATCAAGAATATATATTGTACTATGTGTTTCCTCAACAGATGACTCTCAGGATTTTCTCTTTAGGTCTACTGTTACCGTGGTGTTACACAGCTAGGTCTTGTTGAGTTAAACCCTCTTACAGTCCTGAAATGTAGTCCCGCTGATCATAACTTAGTATTAATCATCTTTCAGTGTGTCACTGGATTCTCTTGGCTGATATTTTTTTCCTTCACATAAATGAGTCTGGTCTGCAGCTTTCCTCCCCTGGCTCCTCAGTATTGGCATGGAACCCTGGGCTTTTGCACTGAGCTACATCCCCAGCTCTTTTTTTTTGAGACAGGGCCTTGCTAAGGTACCCAGGCTCCAACTTTGATCCTCCTGCATCAGCGTCCCATAGCTCTGGGATTTCAGGTGTCCATCACCACATCCAACTTTGTACCTTTTTTTTTTTTTTTTTTTT